TCTGTCTGTCACAAAATTCATAGCGCTTTCCAGCCAATCTCCTGGGCTCAAATTTTGCACAGCGCATGCCACCCGCATGAAAGTTCAATACGCAAAAGCACGAGCAGATTTGTTGGGTGGATCGCTCAGAAATAGCTCGTCAAACTGATCCACTTTGCAATTGGGTCGCAAAATTGGGTCCGTAATTTTACTTTTTGTAGAGTCGTGGATGTTTATGCCAAGTAAATGTGCAAGCCATGAACTTAGGCACAAAAAAGTGATCAAAAGTCCATTACTTTACAAAAACGGCGCCAAAAAATATTGGTTGCGTAAATGGTCAATTTGCAAGGTTTCAAAAAAGCATTTGACGAGATTTTTGCACAAAGATGTAGCTCACAGTGACTGCTGCTCTTATTTCAAGTGTTGAGACCATGGAAAAATCAGAAACCTATAAAAATTTGCGTTTGTTTTCCTGCAAAAAGTCTCATCCACGCGAAATCACCGATTTCACTTGAAAAAGCTTTTGGAATGAGTAGTTGCTTACATTTTGTTCGTGATAGTTGGCATCGCTCGGTGAGCACCACTGCCATCATTATACGAGAATGAGTAGAGCCCAGATAGTAGAGCCAGTGCGAGCCTCTGCGAAGCAAAGGTGACGCGCTGGTCTTATATATAAAGTTGAATGTGTATGTCTGTATGTCGGTCTGTATGTACGTATGTTTCAAATAGAAAATTCCCTTTCCAAACGGATCCGGACCAAACTTGGCACACATACGCTTCGGGCCCCGGCGGTGTCATAGGCTACTTTTCGTCATCGATCGATATCGATTTTATCGATTTTTATCGAGTTTTTGCAGAGTTCACCTACGGGGCTGGGAGTTGGCACAGGGGGGTAATCGAGCATGCTGATTACAAATACAATATATATTAGTTTTCAAAATTATCCATCACTTTTATCGGTTTTTATTGATTTTTTTGCGAATTTTGAGTTAAGGGGGCTAGAAGTTGGTGAGGAAGGTAGGTGAGCATACTGATTACTAACACAGCGGATATAGGGAATTTCAAGCAAAAGTGGGCACAGGGAAAGCTTGCACGGGGGTAGGAATGGAACCATCATCGTTTTGACAGAACCGGGCGGAGCCGGGTAAGCCAGCTAGTAAATAATAAAAAATAAAAATAAAAATGAAAACAAATAAAATAAAAATATACTAATAATAAATATAAATAAATAAATAAATAAAAATAACAATAATAAATAAATAATAATAGTAAATAATATGTATAATAGTAATGAAAAAATATAATATAATATAATAATGTAAATAATAATAAAGTAAAAATATAAACAGATAAACAGACAAACAGACAGACAGACAGACAGAAACAGACAAACAGACAGACAAACAGACAGACAGAAACAGGCAGACAGAAACGGACAAACAGACAGACAGACAGACAGACAGAAACAGACAAACAGGCAGACAGACAAACAGACAGACAGAAAAACAGACAGAAACAGACAAACAGACATTCAGCTTTACATTAAAAAAATAAAAAAAATAAAAAAAATAAAAAAAAATAATAAATAATAAAAAATAAAATTAAAAATGAAAATGGATAAAATAAAAATGTGTATATAATAAATATAAATCATTAAATAAATAAAAATAATAATAAATAAATAAAAATAAAAATAAAAAATAAATAATAATAATAAATAATATGTATAATAATAATGAAAAAATATAATATAATATAATAATATAAATAATAATAAAATCATTACTTATAATAACGGGCTAAGGGTGTTTACGTGTTTTTGTGTGTCTGTCTGTCTGAATGTCCGTCTGTCACGAAATTCCTAAAACTTGTTCCAGCCAATGTCCTGAGCTCAAATTTTGCATAGCGCATGCTACTGGCGCGAAGGTCCAACATGCAAAACCACAAGCAGATTCGTTGCGTGGATCGCTCAGAAATTGCGCGTCAATCGGATCCACTTTGCTTCTGGCCCGCAAAAGTGAGTCCGTAATTCCACTTTTTGTAGAGTCGCGAATGTGTATGGCAAGTAAATGTGCAAGCCATGAATATAGGCCCAAAGTGATCCAAAGTCCACTTTTACAAAAAAAGGCGCCAAAAAAATAGATTGCATAAATTGTCAATTTGCCAAGGTTTTACCAGAACATTTGACGAGATTTTTGCACAAAAATGTAGCTCATGGTGATTATTGTTCAATATGGCGACTGCCAGAACCATGAAAGACTCAAAAACCTATTCAAATTGAAGCCTGCTGGATTTCCGCTAGGAATCCAAAAATGAATAGGAAAGAGGAATGCATCGCCATCACAAACGAACTCGCGCCGTTCCTGGAGTTATGCGGGTTTGACCAACACCCTCATACCCGGGTGCCGTAGCTCATTAGTCACTCAACGCATGTCAGTGGTGGTCTGCAGTCCTCACTCGGCAGGTTTAAGGTGAGCTGTCTATAGGCATTCACAACTTTCCCTTTTCCTGTGACGATAAGACAACTGGAGGGTAGATTTCATTTACTGCTCACTTTCTAGGCTCTGAAGAAGGCGAATCAGCCGAAACGTAAGCCTAATAAAAGAGTTGTAACAATCTTGGTCAAGGCTTAACAACTGCACATAAGTATTCAAATTGCGTTCGTTCTTCTGCAAAAAGTATCATCTACATGAAATCACCAATTTCACATGAAAAAGCTTTCAGAATGAGTACTTGTTTACAATTCATTCGCGATAGTCGGCGTTGCGCGGTGAGTTTCAGTGTCATTATTGCTGGAATGGGTAAGGCATACAGATAGTAAAACCAGTGCGAGCCTCTGCGAAGCAGAGGTGACGCACTGGTAAAAATATAAACAGACAAACAGACAGATATACAGACAGACAGATAGGCAGAGACAGACTAGACAGACAGACAAACAGACATTCAGCTTCATATATAAGGCAAGCGATCCTACAGGTCGCTAGTAAGTGGGTGGGGGCAGATACATCGATATCTGCCATTAATTAACTAAAAATCCCAAGAATCCCATTTCTGTGTAACCAAACGGGGCAGAAGTAGGATCTTTGCGAAGGTTAGGAGGTCAAACGTCTTAGCGAAAATGTCCTGTCGCATGAAGCTTATAATTCTTTCTTTTCTCGAGACCAAAATCTATGTGATTTTTTGCTTTTAGGAGCAGAAATATGGTTAAGTGGAAAGAGTCGATAATAAATTTCCAGCGAGTTTCTGTATGATTAAACATTTCAACTGGAAGCTCTTAGCGAAAATACCTTGCCGCCTTAGCCCATCGTCTTTTCTTCCCACAAGGCGAAGTTCCTCGTGCTTTTTTGCTTTTGGGGGCAGAAATGTGGTTTTTAGTGTGATTTTGCAAAGTTCAAGGGGCCAAAAATTTCAGTTTGAAAATGTCCTGTCGAAGAAGCTCATGGGTCTGTCCTTCCCTCCCTCGAGACTAAATTCCCTGTGCAGTTCTGCTCTCAGAGGCAGAAGTATGGTTTTTGCAAAATACAAGGGCCAGAAGTGAATTTTAAGCAAGTTTCTGTGCGATTAAACATTGACACCAAGAAATTTCCGGAGAAAATATCTTGCTGCTTGAGCCTACGCGAATCCTTTCTTCCCTCGAGATCAAGCTTCCTGTGCTTTTTTGCTTTTAGGGGCAGAAGGATTTTGCGAAGCAGAAGGGTCTAGAAGTAAATTTCAAGCAAGTTTCTGTATAATTAGATATTGAGACCTAAAATTCTTAGCGGGAATATCTTGCCGCCAGAGTTTATAAGCCTTTTCTGATTTTAGGGGTGGAACTAGGATCATAAAGGTAAAGGCGGCCAAAAATATATAACAACTTATACAACCATTTATAACAACTTCTGATGAATTTACCGCCTCCGTCATTTCCGATGATCAGAGAAAGCTCAGCATGCTTACTTATCCCCACCCCTGCCAATTCTCAGCATTGTAGCTTCAACTTTGAAAGAAAAGGAATATATCAATAAAGGTAATGGGTATTCTCAAAAAAGTATATTCGCAATAAGCGTGCTCACACACAACCCTGCGCCAAATGCCAGCCGTGTAGCTCTAAATTCACAAATAATAGAAAAAATCGATAGAATTTATGGTTACTTTCAAAAACACTCATTGTAATCGTAATCGGCATGCTCGCTTTTCTGCATGTGCCAACTCCCGGTCACGTACTTGAACTTCGCAAAAACGATAAAGTCAATCAAAATAGTTGATAATTTTGTAAAATAAGAATGCGTTCGTTACCAGCATGCTCACTTACCTGCCTGTATCAACTCTCAGCGCCATAGCTCAAACTCTGCGAAAAATCGATAAAATCGACAGAAGTAATGGGCATTTTCAGAATATTAGGTTATCAAATTCGTAATCAGCATGCTCGCTTAATAATCGATAGTTCGGTAAAAGTAATGTTTATTTTCAAAAAGGATGTTGTATTTGTGATCAACGTCCATGATCATTAACTTAACCCCCCCCCCCATGCCAAACCTCCCTGCTCATATTTTGCAAAATCGAAAACTGCTTCGGAGTGAAGCCGCTACCAAGTATCCCGCCATAACAAGCTGCCACGCTTAACCAAAAACAACAGACAGGAATACACCATCGACCATAAAAACACCATCGAGAACTCACAGACAGCATCAATAACACGCAAGCATGCTTATCCAGCAACCTACAGACAAGTGCACCATTCGATCTTATATATATAGGATGATGATTAGTGAAATTTAGAAGCTTTAGGCGTTTTCCTAAGGAAATATTTATTGTAAGTTTGTGAATATGTAGCATTTCTGATTTCAAAAGAAAGGCAAATTGGCTTAAAGGAAGCTCGACGACTTTGAAGTCGCCGTTGGATAGAACTCTCCCAAAATAAGCGGAAAATAAGTTACGTTGAAGCTTACAGCCACCTGAGCTTAACACAAAGCTTAGAATAAAGAATTTTTGAATGAAAGACAGTGATGATGTGCATGGTATCTCATAAGATCCTACTATAGGTGTCCTACACAGCGCGTGTGCTCAATGGTACCTATGGACTCTATCAAAATCTCTACGTTAGCAACAATAAAATAAAGTAAGACAATTTTATACAGATTCACAGTTTAGTTCAAGTAATGGCGACTAAGCAGAAGAAGGACAAGGGTCATACCTTCCTTCGGTATAAATTTCCATGGGACTTTCAAAAAATAGTTACACATTTTCCTGAGCAATAATCATGAGCGTGCTTTTACTTTAGCTTCCAGAATTGCGGCTGTTACTAAAATGGAGCCTACAAGTGCCCGAAAGTTAGTTCCCTGTTTCGACGAACCGGACTTTAAGGCAGTTTGGAAAGTAACGATAGTGCATCCTGTTGGAACTACAGCAATCGCAAATGCAATGGAATTAGATGTATCAAAGTATGTAGCACTTTATCTGAGTATAGTCGTCCTCACCCCGCTATCAGTCGGTGGTCGAATAGAATTCGAACTGGAGCAGGCTGACCGCGGCAGAGTGCGGCAGAGGTTGCCTCTCAGCCAACCGCTTGCACGAGCTTGTTTCTTATTTTCTTCGTGTTTCTTTGCTATCTCTCGTATTGCGGCAATGTTCTCAATCAAATTTTCAGATTTCGTACCGCTAACTCTTTGAAACAAACACTTTTTAGAGAATTTCAGCCTTACCGCAAAAAATAGTCTAGAGTACATATTCTAACGAAAAACTTGACACATTTCATCAAATCACATTTGTGTATATGTCACCTACCGGAAAAATAGATTTCTCATCCAAAAATCTCCAACCGCATCTTCTTCCCGGTTTACATGGAAAAAAAATGTAAAACAAACGAGCACAACTGCACAAAACAATAGTTAGCGGTACGAAATCTAATCTGATAAAGAACATTGCCGCAATACGAAAGATAGCAAAGCAACACGAAGAAGATAAGAGAAAAGCTCATGTGCACGCGGTTGGCTGAGGGGGGGGGGTCTGCCGCGCTCTGCCGCGGCCGATCTGCTCCGTTCGAATTCAAGTTCGACCACGACCGACTAATGGGGTGAGGACGACTATAACTGGTACAACACGGCCACTCGTCTCCGGTTTTGACTACTCGTGCAAATCTTATCACCTCAAAATGTAGTCAATGTAGAGTTGACAAAAAAATGACCTGGAGAAAATCAAAAAAAAAGTTTCGGATAATAATGCAGTCAGGAGATTACAGTCATCTCAACACACGTTGTAATTTGTCAAGCATAAGCAGTAGCACATAATCAAACTCTAAAAACTCTCCGAATAAAAAGCAGCTCAAGCACACACTTTAGCAGAATTAATCAACTGGGTGATGTTTCTTTGTATCTATTAGGTTGCCCGTCCCGAAAGTTTTGTCGGCTTTTTCAAACCGCTTCAAAACTATGCACAATAAAGACCTGAATGAGTTTCAACATGCATGCGATGCAGCTTTTCCTTCTCTTTTTTATGGTTACATTTCCGAGCAACAATCCTGTATGATTTTTCTTGATAATCTTTACAATTCTTTACCCGCCATTTTTATCTGCTCAAAGTTAGGCTAATTTCCGAAAATTTCATGCGCGGTACAAATAAAACAATTCTCGGACTAAAGGTGATAACTTTGAATTTTCCTAACCTCTGCTTTTAGCTTCAAAAAATTGTTTCTTTGAAGGTCTCGATTTTTGGCAAAGTCATGAAACACGCAACTGCAGCAAAAACATGAAAGCTTTTGCAGTTTCTGCGAATCGAAGCTTGATTGCTAATAAACTTTGTTTATGCAACATAACCAAGTTTACTTGGTTTGAGAAACCAGTTTTTAGGAATTTTCGGTAATTTTACGTGGTAGACGTAGTCAAAAACCGCGGTTTTTCTTAAATAAATAATAACGAACTTGATAAACGTGGCTCATGTAATCTAAAATAAACACAATGTAGTCAAAGATTTGCTCTACATAACAGTCACTAGCGCCATTTGAAAACATCAGGATAAAAAGTTTTAAAACTGCTCAAAAAGCCATGACGATAATATTGCAGAGACAGGATAGATAAGAGAGCAATTATAGCTATGAGAAAGAGAATAAAAATCTGAATCAAATGATACCTAAAATTAATTTTCTTTGAGTTTTAGTAAGCGATAAAAAAACCGACAAAACTTTCGGAACAACCTAATATATAAAACTAGCAAGGCCAATTCGCCTTAATGTATCAGGCTTATCATGAATTTTTCCTCAACAACTGCTAACTTTAATAAGTCATAAAAATTCTATTTCATACATAGGTATCATGCTCTTCATCGAGCAGGAAAGGTTTACCAGATGGGCTTTGAGCAGACGCGTCAAGTTTGTTCCGCATCAGGTTTGAAGGAGTATCTAAAAAGTTATATGCTCGAAAAATTAAAAATAATCTCATCTCCGTCCAAAGAAATCCTACTTACTCCAAACTTGCTTACGAATATACCACATCAGACGTTCATATATACAGGGTGTCCCAAAAAATGTGAACACTGTTTGATTGTTAATAACTTCCTTGCTTTCATGTCTTTCGTCGAGGTTAAGGCGCCGTTTTATAGAGCGAGGTTCAACTTAGATTTGTAGTATGGAGCAAATCACCCATTGCTGTTCGTTACTGTAGGATTACGGTATGAACTTCGGCAAGGATTTTAGGTCATTGGAGGCCATATTCTGCCTCGGAACAAACCAAACAAGCCAGAAACTTCTATACTAGGGTAATAGAAGACGCTGATTTCGAATATGAAGTTTCCATTTCACTGTGATGCTTCTTTCCAAAGTTATCCCAGGTAAACCGTAATTATTGAATTTCCAGCATTTGTCAGAAATGTGACTACACCATCAAAAAATCGAAAACACTCGTAAAAAGCTGTCTAATGGAATCAGCGTGCACGAAAACCCTAATACACAATTTTTCAGATTTTTTGAAAAAAAATTTTTGTCAAATGGCAAATTGCACAATAGATTAATATGCTAAAAGTTCATACCGTAATCCTACAGTAACGAACAGCAATCGGTGATTCGCTCCATACTACAAATCTAAGTTGAACCTCGCTCCACAGAATGGTGTCTTAAGCTCGGCAAAGGAGCTATTATCGATTAAACAGTGTTCACATTTTTTTGGGACACCCTGTATAGTTGCTGTATTTTCCATAACTAGAAATCGAAAGTGAAAAATCTCAGGTTTTTGCCAAAATGCAGGGCAATATAGAGATAGGTAATTCAATACTGCTAACCTTCGGGAAAATAAACAGAACATTGGCACTTTTCAGAGCAATAAAGAGTCTTCTTGTGAAATACAGGGTGTCCCAAAAAATGTGCACAATGTTTGATTGTATTAGGTTGTCAAGAAAATAATGTCGTTTTTTATTTGCTTTCTTTAACAAAGCAACCAGACTCAACCCAACAAAAAGTAATGGGTATTGTTCGATAGAGCAAAGAAAGCTCTACAATATGGCATTCATGGTTTTGCGTTAAATTCGACCACGGAGAGTGCGAACTCAAAATCTGAAGATTTCCAAATGCCCAAAAAATCGAAAAAAATCAGATCTTCGTCCAAATGTTTTCTACGGACCTCCCACTCGCACACGTTAGTACTTTCGATATCTGATATCCATATGTGCAGTTGCCGTACTTTTTCCTTGATTAGAAACTGAGAGAACGAAAATTTTCATAATATTTTCAAAGCAATGCTGAACCGTTCTTGCATATGTGATTCTGTAGTAGAAGCCTAGGTAAGTATAACTGTAGATTTTCAGCTCATTCCAAGCAGTAGTTTTCGAGAAATTTCGAAATCAGCTTTCTTCTTTTCAGTCTCAGTGCTGAAAGCGACATTTCTCGAAAACTACCGCTTGGACTAAGCTGAAAATCTACAGTTATACTTATTTAGGCTTCTACTACAGAATCACATATGCAAGAACGGTTCAGCATTGCTTTGAAAATATTATGAAAATTTTCGTTTCCTCAGCTTCCAGTCAAGGAAAAAGTACAGCAACTGCACATATGGATATCAGATATCGAAAATATTAACGTGCGCGAGTGGGAGGTCCATAGAAAATATTTGGACGAAGATCTGATTTTTTGCAATTTTTTGGGCATTTGGAAATCTTCAGATTTTGACTCTCCGTGGATCGAACTTAACGCAAAACCATGAATGCCATATTGTATACCCATTACCCTTTGTTGGGTTGAGTCTGGTTGCTTTGTTAAAGCAAGCAAATAAAAAACGACATTATTTTCTTGACAACCTAATAGATAACTTTCTTGTAATGAAGTGTTTCGAGAAGCTTTGAGTACTATTTTGTAGAGCGAGGTTCAACTTAGATTTACAGTATAGAGCGAGTCGCCCTCATTCTTACTGTAGGATTACAGTAGAAATTTTGAAGAGGGTTTTGAGCCATGAAAGGCCATATTTTGTTCCAAAAATGAATGAAAACAACAAACTCTCACACTGGGCTAATTAGAGTTGCTGATTCTAAATAAAGTTTGCAGCTCTTCGTAATTAGCGGCCATTTTTTCAATGTTCCTAAAGAGTGCGGTTACATTTAGAAACCTAACCTTGTAACCTTGTAAAGAGTTGGGTATTGAACTTAGCGTCCGTGAAAACCCTATCACATAAGTTTCCACATTTTTTCCTGAAAATTTCTGAAACGGCCGTTTTTTTTCATCACATGTTTGAAGTTTCTACCTAATCTCACAGTAAGAATGAGCGATTGGCAATTCGCGCTATACTGTAAATCTAATTAAACCTCGCTCTACAAAATGGTACCTAAAGCTTCTCGAAACACTTCATTACAAGAGTTATTTACAACTAAACAGTGTGCACATTTTTGGGACACCCTGTATAAAATTCATTATAAACAACCGTAGGATAAACTGAAACTATCATTTCTTGAAACTAGCGCTTGTAAAAGAGCAAAATTCGTTGTTACACCCAGAAGTTCATTCAGAATAATCTAACTTTGAGCTTGGCATTATTTTGACATAGACCAAATTCTTGATTGCTAGCCATGAAAAACTGCGTGCACGAATGTCTGATGTGGAGGGCATACGTGCACGAGCAATTTGGGAGTAAGTGCGTTTTTTTTGGAAGAAGAAACGAGTATTTTGCGATTCGGATATTGAAAACTTCGATTGTGGCTTCAAAGTGAGGCGAATTTACGCGTAGCTTCAAACAGGGCTCGGCGCGAGGTGGCTTCACGAAACTGCAGAAAACGAAGTCCCTATTGATTCCACTTTTGAAAGTACGACATCCGCCGTGAGATATTAGAAAAGGAAACACATGGAAAGGAACGGAACAAAGCAAAACAAATAGACGGCAAAAAAGCACCGAAAACGCACCCGAAGCAGCGTTGCCGTCGCCATTTAAATTTTTCTTCTGCCTATAAGTATAGTAAGTTTTAACTCAGTTTAGGCGGAAACTGGACTGACGGGAGTCCGCTTTGCAACGATTGCGCCGCTTTGCAGCCTGCGTCTCTTCATTCTAATCTATCTCGCTGAGCCAATGGCGGTGTGGACGCGCCGCTCCACTCGTTTCGCCTACTCCGGGTTGAAAAAGACTGTAACAAGGGGAGGATACCAGATGGCCGTGGACTTTCGAGACGAGATCTATACCAACACATTTTCCTCGATACGCTGGACTCAAATTCTGTGTTTAATTTCTGCGGTGCTTTCTTGGCTGGAAAGGTTTGGAGGATATTTTCGCCCAAGCTCGCTCGGACTGACCATAGGTGCGAGCCTCGCCGCCAGACCTGACAGCAGCGTGTGGTCTAGTGGATAGCGTGCTAGATTGCAGATGCGATGGTTTTTCGGGTTTGGAGGCACTCTTTTTGCTGACGTACATAAAGTTTCTTTTCGTGCGCAGAACCATTTCAGTCATCAAATCATGTCCTTTCTTTTAAAAATTAATCAAAAAAGGCTTTTTTTTTCAAAATCACGCAATATTAGGTCAAAACAACCAAAAAGAGGGATAAATGTGTGCTATGAGCAAATGTGATGCTCGGTAACAAAATGACTGAAACAGAGAAGATGCTAGCAATGAGCGCAGCGTATAAAAATTCGTTACAGTTTTCTTTCTCACACTGTCCTAACAAATCACGTGCAAAGCAGTATTGCACGGGGGTTCCAAATTGATCAAGATGCACATCCGAATACCGGCTTACCAAGGATAGACGAAGAAATTTCGGATCCTTGGTGCACAGAATTGAAAATATATCAGGGAAAGGAGGCGTGAAATAGAATAACTAGAATAAGCGACTGTGTACAACGAAGCCCAAGCATGGGCTATCATGTAGGAAGTAAATCTTTTACACATTGCCTTGAATTAACGGAAAAAATACAAGTCCAGCGGTTGGAAGGAGAACGTTGTTCCTGGTGGAATGTTCATGATTTTGACCTTCTTGTTTTCTGGCAACAGCATGGCATTATGGTCTTTGAACGAATTCCAAGAGTCGACCAACAAAAGTATGGACGTTGAGTCCGCCGAAGCCAGGGGCACGATTGGAGACCCATTTCAGCAACGGTTTGTTCATTATGCTGGACGTGTGGGCCCAAACCCCAAATTTCTTGCTTGAAATTGGTTTCTATCCGGAATTTTTCTTACGGCTCCTTTGAAAGGAAATTTTGCCTGTAGAGGAATACGGCGAATCACAGACCTGCGTTACATATTTCCGTCTATGTACAACATGCATGATGATAAAGGAGTGTGTGGTGGCAGCAACTGATTGTACCATTCTCGTTACCTTCTTCAGCCCCTTTGTTGCAAGCGTCCGGGTAGAGTGCAGCTTTTTGGAAAAGCCCCTTTGGTCTATATTACATACCATACGCCAGCTTTCCATTTCTACATGATAAATTCTGTAAAAATCGTAACTCCATTTTTTGTACGTAATCACCTTACTGCACTGCCAAATAATCTAACATTAAATGAAAGACAGTCGTGGTTCAAGAAATTTACTTTTAGACGTAGAAGTTATAACTCGTCTTGATACTTTGCCATTCCTTTTCTTGAACTCTTGGTATCATCGATGGCTTGTTGTGTTTGGAATATCGACTTCATCCATAGACTTCATCCATATTCAGTTTTAGTGCAATCTGTCGAATATCGCTGTCATGGAGAGCAATGCCCGAAATTTAAATGCAGGAGCCTTCTTTGATGCCAAGCTATGAGCTTTGATGCCCAAGCTTGTAGTTAGATATGCGATCGGCTCGGATGACGTCTGCATATATATTTCGATTACAAATCTGTTCTAAACCGTAGCTCATTTTCAAGTTAATTTACTTACGCTTTTTCTCAATTTCTTCCAACTTCTTCAGGTGGGACTACTTCGTGATAAATCGAAACCTGCTTTTCATACTTGATAAGGGCCTAGAGCCTTTTTCTGTCAATCGGTAAATTTCTGTTGCGCTTTTTACCTGCTAAAGCTAGAGTTAGGAAAAATTCCTTTCAAAGTCATTGAGGCATACCACTTTCCTTCGATATATCCACCTTTCCAAATCGATCTGCTCCTTCCTGGTAAGAGCGCGCTCCTTACATGGACAAATTCTCCTGCTAGGCGTGAAACAACTAGTTCCGGACAAAACATAATTGAGTTCAAAGATTAACAAGTTCTAAAATTCTCCCTCTTTCATCGATTGACAGGTCATAGCTTATATGTACATTGCGCCATTGCGCCTACTTGCTCAAAATCGCGTTCGTTCCAATCGCGTGCAATCATACACCAATAAACTTTATTTGTCAGCTCTCACTGCTTTAACGACGATTTTCTTCCCCTTATTGTGATATATACATCTACCGGGTGTTTGGAGTGGTTCTGTGTACGAGAAGAGACTTCACGTAAATTAGCAAAAAGATTGCCCTTAAAAGGACTCGAATCCAAAAGACCATCGGCTCTGCAGTTTAGCACACTATCCACTAACCATACGTTGCTATCAGGCGTGTGGCGGGAGGCTCGCACTTGTCGTCGGCCCGGGCGAGCTCGTGGCGAAAATATCCTCAAAACTTTCCAGCCAAGAACGTACAGCAGACACCAAACACAGATTTGAGCTCAGCGTACCGAGGAATCTATGTTGGTGTAGATCTTGCCTTGAAAGTCCATGGCTATCTGGTATTCTCCCCTTGTAAGCGAGGAGGAGGGGGTTTGAGGCGGTTTAAAAACCAACTCGTAGGGTTTGCGATGTAGATGCGATTCATGTAAAGAAAAGAAAGAAATTATGTGAGGGAGGGAAATTTTATGACCTTTCCTTTCCCAAGCCACTTCAGATGGCTTCCAGGCTTGAAAGCCATCTTACTCCGTAAAAGTTGAGCACCCCTCGTTCATATAATTTCTTTCATAATTCTTCATACACAGTCTTAACTCCTCATTGTCCATCTACACACCAATTCTGGTGTCATTTCATTTTCACTTCGCTGTAAACAAGCCCTCTGTTTATTTGCAACAGCATGCCGCGGAATGCCGGCAGCGTGCAATCGGCACGCGGACTGCAAAAACGATGTCCCTTTTGCATTTTCTCTCAAAAACGATGTCCAGCTTGCTTGCCATCTGCCATCTAAGCCATCTGTGCCGTGCCCTGGCTTCAAAGGCCATCTTGTGAAGCTTGCTTTGCTCTATCGAAAGACATGTCGATAACAATATAAGAAGAATATGATCAGGAGAAAAAAATGATAAAACCTAATATTAAAAACATCAAATCTTATCATAATTCACCACATGAATTTCTACCAGCTAATGCTTATTGATTTTTGAAAACAATCAAATACTCTACACCTTGGTAAAATACAGTATTCAGCGAGCCTGGTGGAGAATGGAAGAAATCTGCGTTCAAGCCTACTCCGATTATGTCATCGTATCTCCTAGCCGTTTTTGTATCTGAGTTCACTTACAACGAAGCACGCACAAACAGAGGAGTTAGAGTAAGTTTCGCTGTTTCTAACAGCAAAATTGCTGCTCAATCTATGCATTTCTTCGAATAGGTTCGGTTGTGGTCAGCTCCTGGCTCAGAATCTCAAAGAGATTACGGACTTAAAGTAGCAACGACTGCCCTAAGTACATTCGAAAAGTACTTCGGACTGAATGAAGTTATGCTAAAGCAAGGTGAAATTAGCTTTTGGCATCAATGCAGAAAAAGTGACGTCAGAAATGTCAAAAAATGAAGCAATAGTATGTTTCATGTTTGTGCATATTTGTGTCTTGATCTCTGTCTTGAACTCTGATTCTCGGTATGAAAATTAGAGAAGTTTGAAAACTTCACAAAAACTCCTCCTGACTTTTTTCAAAGGGATGGACGCAATCGGCACACGTGGCTTACGGCCCAGGCCGCATATCGTAGTGGCAAAAGGCAATGTGGATATCGCTTTTGCGGGATCTGGGGGAAAGTCTCAAAAATTTTATCATTGCATATTTCAGCAGAATGTATATGAAATCGCCAGTTGCAACATCGTTTCGGTACCGGCAATTTTGTTCAAGTATAACCTTCTAATCACGCGATTCCATCTATCAATTCGTATACAAACTGACCGAGTAAAAAAGTTCGAGCATGGCCAACTTTACCCCATTAACCCATCAGATTTTTGCAGCCGCGCCCTTTACAAGTGAAAGTTATCCCAACGCTTATGTCTTATGAACTTCATCGCCCTCCCCCACCCGTCCCCACAACCGCACCCCTTTTAATCCACCTCCTCATTTTCTGGAGACGTCGGAAGTTCTCAGCACTGCCCACAATTCCATTCTCTGTAAAAGCAACAATTTCCCGCTCCAGTTGCGTTCCATGGTAGCGCGGGCATAAGAAAAAGCTCTCTGAGATAAACAAAAGGCTTGTTTACGGCGAAGGGGAGATGATGGTCCAAAATTGGTGTGTAGATGAGCATTGGGATGTTGGAACTATGTATGAAAATTTATGAAAAAATTATGTGGACGACTATACTCGCGGCCGAATCGAATAATCGATCATTCGAGTAAAACATTCGAATATATTTGCGTCCAAAATTTGATATTTGGAGTTTTTACATTTTCGAATTAAGTTCGAATCGCGAATTATCAGAAAACGAGGATTCGAAAAACGAAAACTTGAATAGTCAAAAAACGGAGTTTTGAAGAAAAATCAAAAACTCGAACTATCAAAATACGGGGTTTTGAATAAATCTTATTTGATTGTTTTATTCGAATTCGTATTCGAATGAAATCCGTAATCAGATTGATCGAGTTTGCTGCAGAGTCAACTGCTCAACATCAAACTCGCTTCGTTTGCGATTTCCCCGCAAAACTCGATGCGATTTTGGATCACAAATTGAAAAAATTAATTCAGGTTATTATTTGTTGTTTTATGCAGCAATTTATTCGTTCTGCAGCCGTGATCAGCTTTGAACTGCGTCAAAACTTGTATTCCCCCGACTGCTTGAAATAGGAAAAAAATAGATGTGCATTTTGATCGATTGCTTCTTTAATCAATGTAAAAGCTTGCGCTGCTGGCACCAAATCGGCAAAAAAGACAACTATCGAATTCAAGCTCATAACCCAAGTTCATACAGTGGGAGTGTGTTGACATGCCTTCTTCTCTTCCTTTGCGCTGTTCATGCTTTTTTTCGCAAAGGTTCGCACCAGGGGCGGTATGCATCAACCTCCCGTGTTGAAAGCGGGCGATCATTTTCAATAGAAAAATGATTGCCCGGCCGGGTTGGCCGCAGCTTCATACATTACGGTTCGGGCGGCCAACCCGGCCGGACAATCATTTTACTATTGAAAATGATCGCCCGCTTTCAGAACGGGAGATTGATGCATACCGCCCCAGATAGCGTTCCGTGTAAAACTTTGAGTTAGGAGGCTGGGAGTTGTATAAGGGGGTACGTGAAGGTGCTGATTATGAACAACAATCTACTTTATCAACCGATTTTTTGAAAAATCCTGAGCTACGGAGATGGGAGTTGGCATAGTGGTGTGAAAGCGCTGATTATGGTGGCAGACTTTAACGACGGCGCGCTTAGGCAGGCATGTGTCAATAGGGTGCGCACCGGCTCTGCTCATCGCTGGATGAACGAGTTTTTGCATTACAGCCTTGACTAGTTCACGGCCATCTTTGCCACTCCACAGAAAGCATCTTGATGGTAGAGATGACCCAGAAAGAGGTTTTTTGAATTCTAAAAATCTTGTAATTCACTGGGTTTGGAGACGGAGCTCAGCGCACCGCATACGGTAGTAGCTGTCGGCTGGCGCATGCTATCGTTCATAAAGTCACTCACCCCTGATTATGAATGAGTCGGGTAGGACGGGTACATCAGTAAGTTTTAGATATGTTTTCTAAATAATTGATATTCGAATATTCATTCAAAATTCGACTCCCAATGTTCGAATGTAAACGGCATTCTTTCATTCAATATTTTTGGTTTTCCGATTCGGGATTCACTCACTTGAAAAATTTTGAATTTCGAATTTATTCAATACTAGCTGCCGTCCCCGATCCCTGCCCGGGCGGAGGGTCCAAAACCCCATCCATTTCAAATCATTTATAGCTTACCACTCTTCTTCCTTCAGTTCATATCACCTCTTCTTCTCCTGCTTCAGCTCCGAGTTGAATTGCAGCGCCGCTGTGGCATTCGTAATGAGATTGCCTTCCTTCTTGACCGCCTCGGTCCGTGACACCGCATCTTCCTCACCGCAAAATGTAAATGATCTCTACCGCCCCTTACTACTTAACTTGGAAAAATAAACGATGTAGCTTTCATTTTGCTAGATGTAAATAAACAAATCAATAAATCGATGGAAGGACCCAGCGAATTGTCGCGAAAAGTAGCCTATCTTCTGCGCCGTGGCTTGTTTATGGGGGAGAGAATTTCCTCTTCGGTTCGCATACAATGGAGTCTACAAGCCACAAACATCCTTAGAAACAAAGGTAGTGTTTGAGTTTTATATATATACTAGCTGGCTTACCCGGCTCCGCCGTATCCGGACCAAACTTGGCACACATACACTTCGGGCCCCGGCGGGTGTCACAGTCCACTTTTCGTTATCGATCGATGTCGATTTTACCGATGTTTATCGATTTTTTTGCAGAGTTCACCTACAGGGCTAGGAGTTGGCACAGGGGGGGAAGTGAGCATGGGGATTCCGAATACAATATTAGTTTTCAGAATTATCTATTACTTTTATTGGTTTTATCGATTTTTTGTAAATTTTGACATGCGAGGCTGGGATTTTGCACAGGGGGTAATCGAGCATGCTGATTACGAACAGAATCCCCATGCTCGATTACCCCCCTGTGCCAACTCCCAGCCCCGTAGCTCAAACTTTGCAAAAAATCGATAAAATCGATAAAAGTAATCGATAATCCTGAAAACCAATATTGTATTCGGAATCCCCATGCTCGATTACCCCCCTGTGCCAACTCCCAGCCCCGTAGGTGAACTCAGCAAAAAAATCGATAAAAATCGATAAAATCGATATCGATCGATGACGAAAAGTAGCCTATGACACCCGCCGGGGCCCGAAGTGTATGTGTGCCAAGTTTGGTCCGGATCGGTTCAGAAATGGAATTTTCTATTCGGAACATACGTACATACATACATACATACAGACATACATACAGACATACATACAGACATACAGACAAACAGACATTCAGCTTTATATATAAGATATATATATACATATATACATATATATATGGATTCTTGTTCAAAATTTTTCATTTCCGAAATCATTCGATTTTTCGTAATTATCATTTTAATTTTTTTCGAATTTATTCGCTATCACCATTAAATGAAAAAATTTGAACTTCTCCAAGTATATTGTGAACTAATTGCGTGGTAAACTTTTTCGGAGTTAGGTGGCTTTGACTCACCTGGGAAGCCACTACAGCATGCTGCCAATTTAAATGATGCGAACTTCTTTGGTTCAAGCTACTGAGCTTTTGATGTTGTTGTAATTAGTTCTATTTTTCTCTGCATTCCATATTTGCTTCGTTCATGTGCGTTTCATAGAGGATGTCGTATTTATGTTGCGAAGTCAACGGACTCTTCGTTTTGGGTAGGGGAATGAAAGCCGACAGTTTGGGCCGCCTTTCGCGGCCAACTGGTCCTTTCGCAGTGTTGTTGCATATCGTCCCAGGACCAGCAGTCCGCGGAGGCGACCCAAGCTGGCGGCTTTCGTACCCCTACCCCTTCGTTTCCAAAACATTACCAGAGTCAGTCGTGCCGAGCCCTGGATGGACGAATCGGCGTTTCATTTTGTGTAACAAAAGCTCTGCCACGTGCAACAGTCACAAAATTTATGTCTTGATTGTATGCTTGCCACGCCAATACGGTTAAAGGCACCGTCCACCCAGATTCTCGACTTTTAGGTTGTTGTCGCTTCGGGGCCTTCTCGTATTTCTGATCCCAAATATGAAGTCGAGAATCCGCGAAAATTCCGAAAATCCCCATTCCGCATAACCCACAAGCCGGCTTTCCACAACGGTGATTGAATGAGCGCGCTCAAATGGGCGGGCATGGAGGGGGAGGGGCGGGCATGGATGGGGGTCCTCTTGCATTTTCGCTATTCCGAAGCGATTTTCTCGCTTTTGAAGTGACATTTTGAGCCGAAACTTGGGCACTGGCTTGATAGCAGGTCTTACTGTTATATGCTGCCAAAAGCTCAACACCCTCAACTTAGGGTGGACGGTGCCTTCAAGGAGAATCGCTGGGTGCGCGATAGGGAACGGGCTTAATGCTTGATTTCGCCCTCGCGATTTCATTCCCGGGGAGTTCGATGGTTTGGGCAACGAAATCGCGACGATGAAATCGCTTTTCGCAGGAACGTGGACATGGGACGCGCGATCTCATGTCTTTGCAGATATTGCAACTAGGTGCGCGGAAATGAGAATTCGATTTCGAGAGATGCTACTTACTTTACTCTCAGCATCCACCCCTGCTCATGTCAATGACGAAACACGAGTACAAAACTCATAATTTGCCCATTTTCACCAACTCATTTCTCACAAGCTCACAAGTTTTCAACAAATTTTCGCCTTTGAATATGTAGGCTTATGAAAGCTAACAGCTGCAATAAGGACGGTCCTCACTGAGTTTTCGGGGAATAATGACGAGGATTTTTGTGAAGCCTTT